TGAGGGTTTGGGGTAGGCAGGTTCTCTTTTTAATAAAGTTGTTTTTTACATTTTCGGACCTTAAGGACAGCGTTGGAATTATGGTTTGAAAAGAGAGACTACCTTTGAAATATTCGTCTTATCACCAGATTTGAAATTATGTGTAGTTTTAGAAATTTTTAAATTAGCCGAAATACTAACTTAAATAATTAGCATTCAATAATTATCTAATACAGATTTAATTGCATTAAAGGTTTAACATTAAAAGTTTGGACATCGAGAAAAAATCTCAAAAGTTTCTTAGTAATTATTAAATAAAACCTATTAAGGTTTTATTTTTTACATATATTTGATATAATATAATGGGCACTAAAATTTTTAAAACTCTTTTTTGCATACGAAATACCTTATGATACATTTTAGACTATTGCACAGTGGTCTGAAAAACTTGATTTTTGGCCAAAATTAAAATTTTGATGTTTCATACTTTTTTTTGTTTGTTTGTTATTTAGGTGCCCCAAGAAGTCCTAACGGCAGTGGCAGATCAAGACTTCTTGGGGCCCGGGGCTATTTTTGTTTTTGGAGACCTTTTTATGGGCCAAGGCCTAAAAATGACATAAAAAAAAAAGGTCCTCTAAAATTTTTAGGGGCCCGGGTCTATAGGCCCCTTGATCCAGCACTGCCTAACGGTCTTGTCACAGAGCACCGCGGAATCGCATTTAACCAGAAAGTTTTCGCCTTCTTCCCTACCGTGACACGAAATATGTCCAAAGCTCGTTTGCAGCGAGGGAGGAGGGGTCAAAAGCACCCCCCCCCCCTCCAACAAAATTTTTTAATATCAAGCCAAAACTTAGTTAAAAATTGTAGAATTGTAGGTTATGATTCCGTTTATTTTTCACAAGTTTTTATCAATATTTTAAAATAATAAATAATAAAAATCGCAAGCGAAAATTCCTAAAATTTGTCATATATTGGGTATTTATTAAGCTACTATTATAATGTTCAATTTAATAATCAATCTAAAGATATATTAAATACATTAAATTAAAAACCAATACATTAAATTAAAAACCACAATATAAAAAGTATACGTACAACACGGAATAACAAAGATGTGATTAAAAATGTGGTTTAAAAACAACACAAATATAGGGTGGAATGCAAGAAGCGAACTTGAGTCAAGCTCGACTTGAACTTTACATTATAACTAATAGCGACAGAGTATGGGTTTTATCCTCAAAAAATACTCTGCCGCTATTGGTTACAAAATAAAGTTCAAGTCGAACTGGACTCAAGTTTGCTTCTTGCATTCCACCCATAGTGTCAATACGGTTTGCAATGAATATTAGTTCCTTTATTTTAACTATCTGCAGTTCAAAATTTACTAAAAATGTTTTAACAGCGGACTTTAAATTCACCAAAATATGAATTTTTTAAGTATTTTTATCTAGTTAAATATATGGAATATTTTATAAAAATAAAACAAAAATGAATATTTGAACTATTTTTAACAATTTAGGTAGCAAGTACGATTGTATAAAGAAAAAAAAAATGTTTTTGAACATGTATTTATAGAAATAAAACAAAAATAGAGACACTAGTATTTTAGATAACATAAAAAAGGTAGGGGAAAGGCGCCTATGATGGCATAGAGCCTATGATGGCATACCGGTCATGTTTTCATAAATATTGGTTATGGAGAAAAAGTGAATAAACCAACATGTCTATACTGACTTTATAGTAGTTTTAGTAAAAATTTGTCCATTATGCACAAATATTGCTTATATAATCAAGAAAAATCAATTTTGGTATGTGCTTTTGTATTTTTAATCCCTTTAAATATTTAATATTGTGATTTTAATATTAACTGTGCAGAAATAAAATTTGTATGCATTTTTTTTTCAAGTTTTGTGCATTTAGTGGAATACTAACTTTAATTTTATCTTTTGAACAAGGCAGACATAGGTTGTTTAAATGAAAATGATGACTTCTTCCTTTGATAGCATACTGACGAGTTAGTTATGTTGCAATATTGAGGAATGGAGAAAACCTTTTTTTTTTCATAAAAACAACATACTTGTTATTGAAGTAAACAGGAATTTTTACTTCACTAAAAAATTTATGGTTCAAAAAATACATAAAACGCAATATCTCTTATGCGCAAGCGCGAAATTTGACACTGCTGCTGTGTAGCAAGAATGAGTTAATTAGGATGATTACATGTAGTTTCTGGCATTTCTAAGGGAAGACTCTTAGGTCAAATGAAATTGTCAACTTACCTTTAATGCTAACCAACCCCATCCTCCCCTATGCCATCATAAGAGCAGTAGTTGCCTATGATAGCATACTTGTACTTTTTTTTTTAAATAAAATAACTAATAAAAGAATAAAACTGATGAAAACTCCTAAAGTTATTATTGTTCTACATGTAACAAAAAATGTATTCATATCAAAACTTTTATTCTTGGTATTCAGGATACTGAATAATGAAGCTTCAAAGTTAAGTATGCCATCATAGGTGCCTTTCCCCTATATTTTGGGAGCTTTAAAGTTTCTCTAAATAATTTTATCTGTAGCTGATTTTTTTTTTTTGTGAATAATATAGGCATATTAGGACTTAATAAAATCATATCGATCAAGCCCATGCATGCGGACGTTAATTTTAAGAAGTTGAAATTGAAAAAAAAACTTTTATTTTATGCTAGTTTAGAACATAAAAATCTTATGCAAATAAACAATAATAAAAAATTATTACTATTTCAAATTAAACTCTATACTATAATATTTGTTTAAAAAAAAAATCTTTATATATGTCAGTGGCGGAACTTCAAAATTTGGGCCCCCCCGCAAAAGAATGTTTTTTTAAAAAAAAATAAAGCTTCACATATAAATATTATTGAGAGTAAAACTTTTTTTATATGAGGGCCCCCTATAGCTGGTAGGCACCCCCGCAACGCAGGGTCCTGCGTCCAGTAGTTCCGCCACTGATATATGTGATATAGTTATAAATTTAAACACAAATGAAAAAATGTTGTATTTTTACAAGAAATTATTCATCGGTCTTTAATTGCTATTGGATAAGGTTATTGACTTCTCTTTCAAGAAAAAATATGAAACTTATATTTTTTTGAACTGCCTGGACAATGTTGTGTTTAAAAATAATAAAAATAACAAAAATTACCGATTTTTCTTTTTTTTAAATTTTGGCCGAAAGTCAAGACCACTTTTCAGACCACTGTGTATTGGTTTAAAAATAAATCATTAATTTACCTTATCATTTTATTTCTTTGACATTTCTTTTAACGTTTTTAAAAACGTTACCAAAAAAACGTTACAAAATAAATTAAAAAAATTTTTTTAACTGACTTTGTTTTTTTAATTTGAAATCATAACTAAATTAGCACAAAAAAAAACGCTTAAATTTGCAACAAAAAAATTTAAAAAAAAAACAAAGCTTTGTGCAGAGTTTTATGCAGGTTATTTTAATAAAAAAAATTCCATTATTACTTGTATTGATTAAAAAATACAAAAAAAAAAAAAAAAATAATAATAATAATAAGCCAGCAGGAAAAAAAACAGACACTTAAATCCGGATACAGGTAATTATTATTTTATGTGCATGATAATAGTGTATTTTATGTGTACCAAAAAAACAAAAATTATACGAACAAACTGCAAAGAAATTGGGCAAACGAGAAAAAAAAAAAGAGATTGAAAGACTGAGAATGAGAAAATAAAGATTGAAAGACTTTTTAAGTAGCTACTGCTACTTAAAAAGCAGAAAATACATTTACCTCAAGTTTCAAATAGCAATTTTGTACCTAATGATTGTCTTTGTTATTTTCGTGAAAGTAAATACCTAAGATAACCAATGGCTTGCATGTGAGCAATGTTCTAATTGGTGATGTATTGTATATGTTGTTGATTATCGTCCAATTATGGAACTGTTTGTAAGGAATGTGATTAAAATACAGATTCATCACTGACTAGTTTCGATGAAGATATCACTTGTCAGCGATGAAGCTATTTCTTAAACAACGACGCTGTTAGGGTTAGAATAAAATATTATGATATTATCAGCTAAATTAAAAATAATTTGGATTCTTTGAATTGTTGTAAAAACTACAAATTATCATGTGACCTCAACAAAACAAAAAATTAAAATTTACACACCTCTACCATTCTGAAGTTGCAGAATCTAGTAGGTGTTAGTATAATCTTGATAAAACCTTACCTAAACAATCATAACTTGGTTTATCAGGATCTATTGTTTGGAAACTTATACCACATTAAGAGAAATTAAGTAATGACATTTTTAAAAAAGAAAGTCTTTACTAATTTTATCTAATACAGTATAATCTCAATAATTCGAATTTCTTTAATTTTAAAAATTTTTTAAAATGTTCCCAAGGTATTGTTTTCTAATGAAGTTTTTTTTATTTTTTATTTTGGATACTATCTATACTTGCGTCACTCTTTTAAAGTTCAACTTTTTTAAATTTTTTGAGTTTTTAAGGACATTTTCAAATAATCAATGCGAGAAAAAAATTTACAATTCATTAACTATATATAATTGAGCATTGAGGCTCAATACACAGCAATTAAAAATTTAATCTTCGTATTGATTGGAAGAGGTCTTTCAATGTTTTGGTAATTTTAGCACCGTCTATAGGTGTCCATTATCTCCTTTCTCCCTTCCGTCATTAAAAAAGTTTATTCTTTCAGGGAATTTTATTTTTACTTTATTTTATTCCAACAAATATATATATATATATATATATATATATATATATATATATATATATATATATATATATATATATATATATATATTATATACATATTATATATATATTTTATATATATATATACATATATATACATATACATATATATACATATACATACATATATATATATATATATATATATATATATATATATATATATATATATATATATATATATCTACACACAAACACGCATGTTCAAATACGTTCTTAGAAAGAAAAAACAACACGTAACTTCATCGTTCAAACTACTTCTCGATTAGGTGCTGACAAATTTTGCTGTTAAAAAAACACTTTTAATAGTAATACTGATATTCGTTAATAAACTCATGCTATTTTACTTTCGAAAATATTTAAATAAAATTATGTGGAAACTATTAAAGGAACTATTTTTTTGTCTTATGCCCAAATTGTTTATTCTCTGCATCGTCGGATTAATCCAAAAATTTCAGGATTGTTAAAAACCGTCAGCAACTTATTAAATTTGTATAATGAAATAATACAATTCACGACATCGATGACAAACTACTGAATACCAATTCGTAAAAAAATTCATTGTGTTTTATCAGCAAATACAACCCTCCATTCATCGACTCCTAAATGACATCTCGATAAATCCCAGCCTGCCACTTTTAAATCATTAATGAATGTTGGAAAAAAGTTTTTAAGAATTCTTTCCATTTCCACGCGGTTATAACACTTGGTGGCAATAGTGTTTTCTGAAAATAAATTTTACGCTACTATTACACGAGAGAGATTTATTTGAATTTCAAAACTTTCAAGAATTTAGCAAATAATAATAGCAATAACTAATATAAATTTAATTAGAATTAAATGGTAAACTTGGAGTTATAAATGTCCAAAAGGAGAAAATCTTATTGAAGTTTCGTTAGTGTAAAATAAGAAAACATTCTGCGTGAAAATGGAGTGTAGATGGTTAAAAACAAATAAACGAAATATTTCCATTTTTTACACCGATAAAACGTCAATAAACGGCTTCTCTTTAGACTATATACTTTGACGAACAAACGAAGAGAAGGAGGAAGACTTAAAATTGGCAAGTTTTCAGCGGGCATCAATAATGTATCATTCTTTATAAAATTTTCAGAAAACATTAAAGCTTTAAAAATTAAATAAAAATCATTAAATAAAAATTAAATAAAAATAAAAATGTATAAAATAAAAAGCAATACTAAAATGCATACCCCATAAATAAAGATACAAATTCTCGTTTTTGGTATGCGATGTGTTTATCTAAAAACGTTTTAAGATTATTTTGTATATCAAAGTGTATTGTTTTATATATTTATCTTATATACGATTATTTTTTTATAATATTTTTACTATTTTAATAAATATATTGTATACTATATTATAAAAACTTATATAAAAAAAGTCAAAACTTCTAACTACACCATATAATATTGCTGAAAAAAAGTTTACATTTTTGTTCAATGACAAATCCACAAGCATAGCAAGGAATGAACTTTGCAAGACTTCATGCTCTGAAGTATCTTTATATAGCGAAACATGTATCGTGGCTAAATTGAAATGATTTAAAAGTCTTTGATGTAATTGAATATTATATCAAGAATTATAAATAACCTTATTAATTACAAGTTTTACTGTTATGGATTACTTACAGGTTTTACTGTTATACCCCAAACTAAATCCAGGTAGATCAAGTATTTCGTCACTAACAAACAAATGATTTAGTTTCATCCAAAATAAAATTAAATCATATAAAAACACATTTATCATATATCTTGAAAAGATTTTATCTAATACGCAGTTTTTTTTTTTTTTTTTTTTTTTACAAAAAAAGTCTCCCTACAGCATTATATGAATAATAACAATTATAAATAACTAGATAAAACTTACTGAATGAAATGTGAGTTTTGAAAAAAAAAAAAATTTCAAGTCATAAATTTCATATATTTTAAAGTTTTGAACAAAACCATGTGAGAGATTTACTCTCACATGGTTATTTTACAACTCTTACACGGTGATTTTAAAATTTTCATGATGATTTAAAATTTCTCATAAAGCGATTTAAAATCTCTCTCACATGATGATTTAAAATCATTTCTCACATGGTGATTCAAAAATGTTTAGTTTTATTTTTACTAAGTTTTGTTTCATGATATTTCTATAATTTTTAAAGAATCTATATTAGCCCATCCCATTTTGACCCTCATGAACAAATATTAATACACGGAGTGTCATAAAATGTTCCCAAGGTATTGTTTTCTAATGAAGTTTTTTTTATTTTTTATTTTGGATACTATTTATACTTGCGTCACACTCTTTTAAAGTTTAATTTTTTTAAATTTTTTGAGTTTTTAAGGACATTTTCAAATAATCAATGCGAAAAAAAAATTTACAAATCATTAACTATATATAATTGAGCATTGAGGCTTAATACACAGCAATTAAAAATTTGTTTTCTTTTGATCTCATACAGCTCACACACTTCAAGTCCTAGCATTTGTGCAAAGTTAGTGCAAGTATAATGGCTGACCATTTTGTTAACCTCCTGCCATCAAGTCCAAGTTGCATTTATATTCAACAAAATGCTAAGGGCATCTGCTTGGAGAAGCAGGTTCTATTGGCAGGAATTCGAAGACCATAAAAGGTTAAGAAATAGCAGGGTAAAGATAAAACTATTTCACTTTAAAATACATTTATGCAAAAACAAAATAAGTTTCTAATTTTAAACATTTAGACTTTTGAGAAGTGCAGAGATTATTGTGAACTTGCAGAAAATAATGAGATCATTAGATAAAAATGAACAAATATGGAGCTATTTCACACGTCGTGTTTTTGGTAAAGACATTTTGATATATAAAATTTAAGTTGTATTTTTGGAAAATCAGCCAGGTTCTTATTATGAGTGATAAAATATGGTTTCATGGTTTTTGACCTGCAAATTTTCTGATTCTGCAATTTTTTAATATAAAACTTAGTTTAATAAGTTTTGATATTTTAGTCTTATCATTTAGGAATAATATACATCATAAAAAAAACAAATTGTTTAAAAATAATGATTTGCAAAATGGTGTAAAATACAAAACAAAATACAAAACCAATTTTTTTCTACTGACAGACTTTCCTTAAAATCGTAGAAATATAATGAAAATAAAATAAATAGAAATAGCACTTTGATTTTATCTTGTCAAAATTAATCGTAATAACCTAGAATATTAAAAATCAACCAGACTACTGGTTGATTTTTTTAATATTCTAGGTTATAGTTTGAAAAAATGAATACGAATGAGACTCCCTCAGAATTTTTGGATACAATGAATTTCAAAGCTTTTAAAATCTTTCTAAGTTGCTAACAACTCATCATAATTCAGAAACGTAAATCTATTGACCATAGTTTAAAAAATTTATTTCTCAAAACGAGAAATATATTTTTTGTTTAAAAAAATAAATCGCTAGGTAGGAAATATGTTTCTTAAAACAAGAAAAGTATTTCTTATTTTTTAGAAATAAATTGCAGTATGGGATATTTATTTCTTAAAACAAGATGAATTTCTTGTTTTAAGCAAAAATATTTCATAATAAGAAATTCAACTTTCCTGCGTTTACAGTAAAATTTATTCAAGATAATGTAGAATATGTGAAGAGCTTGGAGAAGCTTCAGTAGCTAATTCAAATAATGAGTTCTTGTAAAAAAACATTAAAAAAAGAAGATACAAGGAGCTAGGACGACTGCTCTCTCACAATTGGCTACGAGTCAATAACTCAAAACAATTTAAAATACATTTATACATTTTGATCTAGTTTAGTTTACAACAAAAAATCATAAGTCTTTTACCCAATCGTTTAAGGTAACCATTTTGGATTTGGATTTTTGTTTGATCCAAGGTCCCAATAACAGTATTTTAAAAAAAAACATCATTTGATACCAAAATGAGATGAAAATAATAAAGTATGTTGCATGGCTGGAAATGACCTTAAAGATCAACAAAAAATAACTTTACAATAGCCAAAGTTTTAATTTATCTATGGTAATCAGTGAATGTACAACATATTTCTTAAATTGAAAAGCACAATGTTTTTTGTACAGAAACACATTAAGAAAATATCATTGAAAAAATTAACTGGATTTGAAATCAGAATCTAATCACGCTAATGCTTGCAAATTGCTCTAAATTTAGTAAAAAATTGCAAAAAGCCTAACTTCAAACATTTGGCACAAATACTTCTAACAAGAAAAAATAAAAAAAAAATTTCATATGTGTCCTCTACACCACTCATTAGCCACACCGCATAAAAATTGGTTGTCAAAAAAAAAATTATGAGACTGACTAATCTATATTCTTATAAACATTTGAAATAATGGACTGGTCGATATCTACTTCTCAAATATAAAACTTCTCAAATATTTATATTGTTTAATTTAAAAAATATATATATGAAAATGCACAATGTCTAATTACTTTTAAAATATAAACTCACCATTTTAAAACATCTGCATATTGACATCCAAGATGTACACTGCATTTAAAACCAGGTCCTGAAAATAAAAATAATGAAAAACAATTCCTATACTTTAAAAAGAAATTACTTAGCAACAAAACAAAACAAAAACTTTTAATTGATTAACAACAATTACTTCGTAAAACAGGATCAACCTTGTTTACTTCCTTTGGGGTTAAAACTTTTCCATAAATAAAGTAATGCTTTACCAAGATATGCAATCTTGGGAGATTAATTGTTTCCATTACAACTGTAGAAACAGCTTGATAGTTTGCATACAAGTGTAAAAATGTAAAAACCAAGAAGAAGTACCATGTAAGGCTTTAATCAAATAAATTTAGTTAGATATAGTTGGAGAATGTGAACATATATATATATATATATATATATATATATATATATATATATATATATATATATATATATATATATATATATATATATATATATATATATATATATATATATACATATATATACATATGTATATATGTATATATATGTATATATATATATATATATATATATATATATATATATATATATATATATATATATATACATTCTTAAAAAAATACGTTAGAAAAAGCATTGGATTGCTATTTTCTGTTAAATTAACAAAGTAATTTGTATTTAAAAATCGCAAAATTAACGGAGTAAAATTAACTAAAAACGGATTCTTCGAAATTTCGATATTTCGACAGATTAAATATTCAAATCTGTTGAAAAACAACTGAACTTTTTATTAAAAAGGGCTTACATAAAAAATTATGAAGTGCTTCCTCTGTAGATTATATTTTTAAATCTTGTTTGTTTGATTTAGATTTGTCAATATATTATAGTTCTTTATTTATAAATGATAAAAGATTTAAAAAGTTTAGTTTTAAAAGGCGTTTTTCTTAAACCACATTTATGTCGTCGATAAGAGGTTTATTGCAGTAAGTTTAAATTGCCATTTTTTAAATAGCTTCACATTAAATGTGAAGCTATTTTAAAAAAGCGTAATTTAAATTGTAGTTATCCATTTGCTTTTTTAACTAAATTTTAGTGGAGAAAGCAAATGGACAAACACAGTTTAAATTACACTCTGTTATTTGTAATTTTGAAGGTTGTTAAACTTATTTTAAACTTTCTATATAAAGCATTGAATATATTTTTAATTTTTTTTATATGATAAACTAAAGGGTTAGTTTAACAATTATTTCTATAATATAGACTATATGACTTGTATATATTCTTGTATAATTTTCTATTTTAAAGGTGACATGTAGTAACTTAAGATATAAATTTAAATCAGTTGTAAAATTAAAAATGTTAATTATTTCTTTTGATGGGTATCATTATTTAGGTTAGTTGCAGCTACGTTTACATAGAGCTAGTTTATATGCTTTTATAATTTGTAATTTGGCATGACATGTGGCATAAAATATCACATTTTAAGTTTCATCAGTTGTAAAATAAATCAGTTGTAAAATGTTTACTTGCATACTTTTTTATAGGTATTTATTTAGGCTAGTTACAGCAAAGTTTACATATGGATTGTTATAATTTGTATATTTAAGTTTTATAATTTGCTATTTTAGACACATGTCTTGCTGTATCACTGTATAAGTTTAAATTAGTTATAAAACTATTTTTTTACTTTTTTACTTGCAATTTTTTTGTTATTTGCAACTAAGTTTGTAAATTGCTTATTTATATTAATATAGAACTTGCTATTTAAGACATGTGGCATTCAGGCATAAGTTATCAAACTTAAATTCAAATATTTTTACTTTTAGCGTGTTTATTATTATTAAATAAAAAGGTGAGAGACTTTTATTCCTTTTATTCTTGATGTGCATAAAAATTTTACAACTATTGATGTGTGTAAAAGTTTTCAAACTTTTCACTTAGCAGGTAAGGTTATCTTTTGTAGCGCATTTAATTTTTGTTAATACATTGAAATGTAGAACTAATAAAATAACATATTTTTTATAAACAATTTAGAAATAAAGAACTAGCAACAAATGTTTTTTACAAGGTTATTAGTAAAAATTTAATTCCATTTTGTATTATGGTGCATCATTTATATTCAATAATTTCTTTATTGTGTTTTAAGGTTTGTTTATCCTCAAGTAACCGACACCAGGTTTCGGTTATTTAAAGATAAACTAGCAACAAATGTTTTTACAGGGTTATTTGTAAAAATTTAATTCCATTTTGTATTATGGTATATCATTTATATTCAATAATTTCTTCATCGTGTTTTTTATCCTTAAATAATTTACAACAGGTTGCTGGAATTGAAATGTGCACACACATGAATTTTCAACTGCATTAAAAATTGAAAACTAGTATAGTAACAATCGTATACATTGTATTTTTTTTTAGATGAATGTTTTTTGACCTTGATTATAATAACTGTTTTAATAAAATATATATTGAAAATTTTTTATAATTTTATTTAAATTTTTTAATATTTATTGTTATTGTAAACTTCTATATTGAATTAAATTATTATAAATATTTAATTAGTTTTTAATTTAAAAGTTAAAACATTTTTAAAGCTTACTAAAAAGTCTCTCCTGATCAATTTAGTTTGAGTAAGTAGTACTGCTTGTATCAGATGTTGAATATCATAATTAAATAATCTATATATTAAAAATAAGGACTATTTTGTAATGAATTTCAGCTCTATCTGGCTTAATTCCTTTCTAATTTTAATAAAGGGAATAATAACTTATTTAATACGATGACGTAGTAAATTCTTTATTTTACCAAAACAACAAAAGCTTCCTAGCATAATAATTTGTTTATTTTAACAAACTGTTTGTTGCGCGAACGGAATAAATCTGTAATTTCAACAGACTAATATCGACGAACTTCAATCCATTAAAACTTTAATCCGTTAACATAACAGAAAACCTGTTGGTGCAATAGAGACAGATGAAGTTTATAAATTGTATATAACAGATTTTTTCTTAGAGTGTGTATATATATATATATATATATATATATATAAAATCTTTGCATACTACTCATAAACTAGTTAATCATTTCTAACTGACATTCATTATATGATCAATTTTAAAAATTAATGATAAAGAAAAAACTTTTGTTAAAAAGCAATTTCAAAACTAAAAAAATCATTTTTAATACTTTTTTGATATAAAATTTACTTAAAAAATTAAAATATTTTTTTATAAATCTAATAATTTTGTCTAAAAGCTTGATTATAGTTAATCTGGTAATGCATTTACATACAGTTATAAGTGCATTAAGCACTTTTGTATATTAGCGCTTTCGTAATGAAATTAAAAAAAAAATTATTGTTTTGAATTCAGTTTATATTGCTGCAAAATAAATCCAACTAAGGAGACCATCAATTTTGAAATATCAACTTGTGGCAATGAATGAATTTGAAGAAAAATTTCTACAACCTTTTTTCGATTTGATATATTTATTTACTCATTTTAATCCAATAACAATGATAACCAATACTTATTACCATTAAAACCAAATAACAAATTAGCTGCCAACAACAATTTAAACAAATTAAAATACAACAAATTAGTCATGAACAAAAAATTACAAAAATTTGAGTAGCTAACAATTTATATGCAAATAATTGCTGATTTTTATTAATATTCAAACAATATACATATATATATATATATATATATATATATATATATATATATATATATATATATATATATATATATATATATATATATATATGTATATATATATATATATATATATATATATATATATATATATATATATATATATATATATATATATATATATATATATATATATATATATATATATATACAACTCTCTTGCATTTTCTCCAGAAATAAGTCAATGTATGTACTGAAGCCCTCACAGCTCCTTAAATCAGTATGATGTCAGATTGCTGATCTATGCCTTGATATTTGCAGATGTGCCTTTAACATAGCACATATAAATATATATGTGTGTATGTGTATGTAATTCTTTCCTCCCTTTTAAATTTATTTATTTATAAAATATCTTTACCCTAATAAATCAAAAAATTACAAATTAATCATCATTAATTTACTGAAAGTAAAAAAACTTTGGCCCAGCCTTTAGGTTTCCTTTTTAAAAAAAAAACCATTTGAAACAAAAAAAATAGTTATATAAACATAAAATATATAGCATAAAAGGAGATATTTCATTTTTAGTTTTTGCAGAAACATATAGACAGATGTAGAAAACATTAATCAGTAACATTTTATTAAAAAAGTAACTTGAAAAAAACAAAAACATTTGAAGGACAATCACGCAACAAAAAAAATTTTAAAAAGTGAATAAAATCAAGAGTCTATATATAAACATTTTGACTGATTTAAACTAAATCTTTAACTTATTATGAATATCTTATTTATTTTATCTTATTTAATTTAAAACAAAGTTGTTTATACACATTAACTCAAATTTATTAAAAAAGTAAATGTTTCTAGTTATTTTAAACTGAAAAAAAAAAACATAACGAAATACACTTACAAAAGATTATCCACAACTAAAGGAGTGATTAAAAAACCAGCAAATAATGCCATCAAATTAACAAGAGTTTCCTGTGAAACAAATAATTTCACATGAATTACAAATAAACAAAAAGCTTTAAGTAAATGATTAATAAATTTCTTAGAACAAGTTTTTTTCGATTTTCTATAAAAAATATTTAAAAAAAAGCTAACTTGCTATTTGTATATTTTGGTACAAAAGTATATAACTTTATTTTATAAAAAATCACCTGACTCCCATCTTTAGCTGAAACATCAGCCATGTTGTTTCGGCGTGCTTGATGAAGTGTTAAGGCAGCACGTGTTGCTCCTCCAGCCACACCAACTATAGACTAAAATTATTTTATTCTGTTTTCTAATTTCAAATCATAAATTTATTTATACATTACTAAATTTTAAACTGAATATATATATACATATATATATATATATATATATATATATATATATATATATATATATTATATATATATATATATATATATATATATATATATATATATATATATATATATATATCAACCCTCGGAAATATGGTCGGCATTCGGCTATGCTGACCTAATTGCCAACCTAAAAGAGTTTGAGGTCGGTGAAAAATTGCGGACCTCGTTTTTATGTTTTATGGTCTGACCTTTGTATCAAATAATTTTTGCCAACCTTTTGCTGACCTCAAAAAGATTGAGGTCAGCAAATTATTGCCGACCTCATTTTTCCTAATTCCAAGGGTTGATATTATATATATATATATATATATATATATATATATATATATATATTTTAAATGAATTCAGTAAACATATTGATATAAGATAACCACTACATGCTATATATTAGCTAAAAATATGCAAACTAGACCACATGCTTTCAAATAATTTGCGATGCTTACTAAATGAGGTTGCCTGAAATACATGTCTGAGTGGACAAAAAATAAATAAAATAAACTCTATTCAGTACACACACCTTGAGTAGAGTTAAATAAAATAAATTTCAGGTGTCAGAATTGAAGCCTTTTGGGTTTCCCAAAAAGTTTTGAAAAATTTTTTAAAGTTTTGCTGAAATATATATATAACCTAATAAAATATATAGAATCATTATATTTATTATAGTTATTATTTTTTATTATCAATGTTCATTAAAAAAGACGATTGGTAGCACCCTGGTATAGTTAAAAAATAGTTTGCATATACCATTATTTCAAGATTATTGTAATTATTTTGTTTAGCAATGTAAATAAATTTTTTATTAAAATTATATTTCAATCATAAAATCGTTTGTAATGATTTTTTGATAGCTTCTATACTCATTTTGCCTTAAACTCTAATCTAATTTTTTTTTTCCAATGATCACCTTTTATTACATCGCAATAAAGTTCTCAGGAAATTTTGTAGCAGTTTAATTGTTATTATCAGGCCTTATTTTAAAGTGTTATGCGTAGAGCGATTTACATATGCCTTAAACAATTTTACATAAGCAGTAAGTGATTTTCGTTAAGCAACTTTTTATCATTTTTTAACTTTCTATAAGCAATAAGATAAAAGAAATAATTGATTTTTAAAAAATCACATCAACTTTTGTAATAAATATTTTTACATAAATGACATTTATGTAAAAATATTTATTACAAAAGTTTAAATGACAATTATGTTAGATATAAGCGCTATTTAAAATAAAATTAAAAATTTATTTTGTTTTTATTTTATTGCAACGATTGTTTTTTTCGCTTGAAAAATGCTATATAATACAAAGATCATATAATTTAATAATATAATATAATTTAATTCTGATAAAAAAGTAATTTTGTTTAATAAAAATATGAAGTTATATAATAATAAAATTTAAGAATAAAAATTTAATAATAAAATTTAATAATAAAAACTTAATAATAAAAATATGAACTAATTTAATAAAAAAGTGTAATTTTATTCCGATAAAAAAAAAAAAAAAATTTAATTTCGATTTAAAAAATATATAATTTAATTTTGAATAAAAAATATATTTAAGTTTATTAAAATTAAAGTTTATGCTTGGATTTAACTTAACTGTCAAATTTATTTAAAAATATTACTAAATTTTGTTCAGTATTTAAATTTTATTTGTTCTTTAAAAAATTAGCTCATTTTTATCACAAATGCTTTTTCGGTTTTCTTTCTTAAACATTTTTTTTTACTCAAAATTAAATTTTAAATAAACGACTGCATCAAAAATTATTTTTTTATTATATTTTTTAAAGCAAGTAAACCGCAGTGATTATTTTTAAATAAACGATATATACAGCGATATAATTTTAATAAATGATGTTTAGAAAAATAATCTTTGCATTCACAACAAAATCGATAATAAAATAATAAACTTTTAATAAAGTAAATAAATTAACATAATTTTTATATTTGCTACTCGCTAATTTTTTTAAATAAAAAATCATTTGTAGTTGCAAAGCCACAATAAGAAATTCAAGGAATAATCATTTAAAAATTCAAAAATTTAACATATTTTAATTCATTGGATGCAAATGTCAAGAAAGGAAAGAAATTTGTTAATATCAAACATTTTTTAAAATGTAATATTAAATTTAATTATTTAATATCAAAAAATAAATAAAAGAGAATAAACATTCCTTTATAGTAATAATAAAAAAGAAGTTAAATAACATTTAATTACTTCGCAAAATTACCGCAAAATAACTTTTTTTAAATTACTGTAATTAATATTATTACGGCAATTAATATTATATCAAATTACAGTAATTAATATTATTGCAGTAATTTAAAAAAGTTAATGTCTTTAAAAAATAAAAAAATAAAGAGAACTTTATGACGTCAAATAAAAAAAAGGCTATCACGTTAAGCATTTTTTATTTAAAACAAGGCCTGAATTATGGCCTCAATTAAATTAAAAATCACATTTACCTTTGCTTTGTTTTTTTTTAGCAGATTTTTAAAAAACACTAATTGTCAAAACTTGCAAAGACCCATGGCCAAGTTGTCAAAATAAAGTATTATATGCCTGGTCATATAAGGCATGTGACTCCATGCCTCTTACGCGAAGGCCTCAAAAATGTATAATTAACTGAATTAAACTTTTATTTCATCAGTAAAATACATCGTCTAGAATTCAATTAGTTTTACAGAAGTAGTGTAGTATGTGTAAATAAATAAATATATATATATATATATATATATATATATATATATATATATATATATATATATATATATATATATATATTTAACCTGTTTAGATTTTAAATACAAAACAAAACAATTTTGAAATTTTATGATATTATACACATAACATATACAAATATATTACACACTAGAAAGAACAAAAGAGAAGGAATTTTTAAAAAAGCTTATTTGCTGTTTTATAAAGTGTTTTGTTTACTAAATAGTTTTAAATTTTTTGTCAGACTATACGCCAATTTAATCAAAGTAGTTAGTTCGTAGCATTTCCAAAGCGCATTGTCATGCTTCGAATCCTATTAAAAAAAAAAAAAGAAAAAAAAAAAAAAGCACAAAAAGGTAGAAAAAACTTTTTAAAATTTTATTAATAATAAATTATAAACTAATAATAAAATTTTGAACCCTCACATAACAACACAGATGACAGCGCATTAAACCACTTATATTTAGAATTTATGCATGTAATTGATAAAAATTTTTTTTTACAAATTCTTATGTTGATTGCAATTAATCAAGACTTTTCAAGCAGTTTCTCTAAATAGCAGCTTTATTGCGTAGCATCTAATATAACATAATATAACAAAAAATATATGTTATGTGCAAATGTAAACAATCCACTTATATAATGTTTTATACAGAGCGTGTGTAATATAAGAACTTTTCTAAAAATTATGTCTTTTTTTGCTTAAACTATTTTGTTTTGAATTTTTGTATTTATCTTGTTGTATTTAAAAAAATTGAAATGGTTGAAAAAATATGAAACATATTGTCTCATTTAAGTGAAAAATTCAAATATTCAATTTTAGATTTACCCATCTCTTGATAAATTCTGATTGTTAAAACTATGCCATATTTTTAGTTTCACCATATGTGTAGTGTTACGTACAAATGTCTGTAAGTGTTAACATGTTTTTAGCATATGTTGAGTTTGCAGGCGGAATAATCGTGCATAATATATGTATAATATGATATATTTACAAAATACATCCTAATTAAAAACTAAGAATTTTTATCATTTAAACAAAAATATTTTTTTACAGGGATGCGGAGTCACAAAAAAAAACTCAGGATTTGAAAGTCACAAAAAAATTACTTCTTCCTAGTTTTTGAATTCCAGGAGCTCTAAAAGTATAAAAAACCTTATGAACAACTAATGAAAAAAAACTAAGACTAAACTAAGGTTAGAGAAACAAGCAAATTTTAATTCCGGAGTCCTTAGGTATAATGGCGGCAAGGACTCCAGCTTTAAAAAAAAAGTTCCAAGTAATTAAATCTAGTGAATTTTTTTCTTATAGCAGATCATAAGTTCACTAACATGTTTAGAGCTTCTAGACACAAGAAAAAAACAGAGATATAAAGCCGGAGTCCTTTTGGATCCTCAGAAAATATTAGGTTGTAAAAAAAAAGCATTTAAAAAAACCAATTAATTTTTAAAAATATTTTTTAATGAAAAGACTTTAAGTTAAATATAATTTTAAAAATTTAAATTTAGTTTTAAATAAATGTAAAATAGTAAAACCTTAAATGTAAAATTTAGTTTCAAAGGAGTGCACAGTAGTTTTGCAATTTTTATTAAAGAAATATTTTTCTTATTATCCACTAACTAATTCATTACATAAATCATAAGTCTCACCATTATAGATTATCATAGATTATAACATGCAAAAGCAAATAAAAACATTTTTTTTTATAAAAAGGGAGAAGTTTAAAAGAATTCTTTTCACAAATGTATTTTAAAATTTTTGTTTCTTATAAATTCAATATTATTTAAAGTTGTTTTGATATAATACATTAATGAACATAAATTATGTTTACAAATATCTTATAGGTAACTGATAAAATCTTAAATTGTTTATAATCTTTATAAAAAAATACTACATTAAATATGTAAAAATTAAAATACATAACCAAATTGTGATAAACAAACAAAAGATTATGTTAAGTATAAGATTGTTTTAAGAAATAAATTATCGAGAATTACCAAATTCTTCATTAACTTTTGTTATATTAGTTAAATATAATTTAAACGCAGTTTAAATTTAAATTCAACTACAATGCTGTACTTTAAAATACTTACAAAATGTCAATAATTTTCAGTCTCCTGTAACAAATAAGAAACGCTTTTAAATAAAGTAACAATTTACTGATGTTTTTTTTTAAAGTTTAATTGAGAGTTGTTTATATTTTTTTAAATTTATAATATATAAATTGTTTAAGTATGCATTTTTTATAAAAACGTTATTAAAAAATAAAAAATTGTTTTCTTTTTATAAATAATGACATTCTACGACAACGAAAGTCTCTTTAACGAATTTTAATATAACAATAATTAAAGTTAATACATTTGAAAAGATAAACAAAATTTTGTTAAAAAAAAAAAGACAAATGTTTTAGAAAGCCGTTACAATTAAATTAAAATTTAGTTTGATCTTAAATGCTTTTATATTATCGAAACACTTCTTAATGAAGTAACAAAACACTTCTAATGAATTTTTATAATAAGTATTAACAAATTTTTACTTTTATAATAAGTATTAACAAATCTATTTTGTATTTATATAATTATTTATTTTTTATGATAAATGTTCATCTTTTGAAACATATTAAAAAAACAAAAAACAAAGAATGAAATGGTTTTTTAATTTATTAATTAAATAGACTAAGCATTTTAGTTTGATGAAATTTGTTTAAGTTGGATTATATATATATATATATATATATATATATATATATATATATATATATATATATATATATATATATATATATATATATATATATATATATATAAATATATATATATATATATATATATATATATATATATATATATATATATAAATATATATATATATATATATATATATATATATATATATATATATATATATATATATAAATATATATATATATATATATATATAAATATATATATATATATATATATATATATATATATATATATATATATATATATATATATATATATATAATTTATTTATTTGCATTCACTCCCAACAAGGCTGCAAGCAACCACTATTAAGTTGGGAGTTACTAGGAAAAAAAAGAACAGAGTTATAGAGCAAGGAAACGGTTGACAGAAGACTTGAAAAGTTGAAGGTTATATGAGTCAGGAAAACATGAAGATGGGAGAGAGTTCCAAAGGATTGAAGTGCGGGGAAAAAAACTAGATGAATAAATGTTTTTAGAGCATGCAAGGACAGATACAGTAAACAAATGAGACTTAGCTGAATGACGAGTAAAACGAGAATGAATTTTAGTTGATGGAACTAGAGATGATAACTCCTTTGAGCAGTGACCATGATAGTATTTGTAGAAAAGAGAAAGAGATGCAACTTTACGACGATGGGAAAGAGGCTCAAGCTTAGCAGATAGTCCAGGTCCAACAACATTTACAATGCGTTTTCAGATCTTGTCAAGAAGAGAAAGTGAATCGTTAGAAGAACCAGCCCAAATATGACAACAGTATTCCGATTCAATAATAAGAGATTTGTAGAGGTAGAGAATAGATTTAGAAGTAAGGAAAAAGCGAGTACGATAAAGAGAAGCAACCTTAGCAGAAGCTAATTTAGCAATCAATTGTATATATGGTTTCCATGAAAGGTCAGTAGTAAGCGATAATCCAAGAAGATATAAAGAGGAGGACTCAGTAAAAGGATTGCCATTCAATAATATATGAATGTTGACCATATTACGGTAGTTGTTTGCAGTAAACAACTGGGTTTTGTTAGAGTTGAAATTCACAAGCCACTGTGAACCCCAATCTATTACTGAAATGAAATCGGATTCAAGATCAGCTGCTTGTTCTAGGCGATCGAAAGGAGAAGAGTTTTTGTCAAGACAGGAGTATAAAGTTGAATCATCAGCAAAAAGAGCTACTTTAGATGAAAGGTTGTCAGGAAGATCGTTTATGTAGATAAGAAACAAAACAGGGCCCAGGATGGAACCTTGGGGAACCCCGGAAGTTACTGGAAATAAAGAAGAATGTTGGCCTTCAAGGATGACTTCAATAAACCGGTTAGAGAGAAATGATTTGATAATCTCAAAAACTTTCCCAGAAACACCATATGAAGCAAGCTTATGGAGAAGACCAGCATGCATATATATATATATATATATATATATATATATATATATATATATATATATATATATATATATATATATATATATATGTATATATATATATATATATATATAAGTTTCTTACGGATATATTTTTTTTGAAAAAAAATCATGCTTACAGGGAAAAAAAATTAACGGGTACACTAAAATGTCCCCGATAATGCTAATGTTGCCGTAAGTGCTAAACTATACTAATATATATATATATATATATATATATATATATATATATATATATATATATATATATATATATATATATATATATATATATATATATATATATATATATATATATATATATATATATATATATATATATATATATATATATATATATATATATATATATATATATATATATATATATATATATATATATAACATCATTGGTCCATAAAATGATGTCATACTAAAATAGCACATATGATGAACATTATAGCAAAAAAAATGTTTTTTAAATCTTACTTTTGTTCCTACATTAATACAAACTGTTTTATGAAGTTTTAAAAATAAAACTATGCAAAATGTATAAGGACAATACTAAAGTAACAATTAAATAAAAACTTACTCTAGCAACACTTGATAAGCATGCTATCAATACAAAATATTGTTTGAACAAAGGAGCAACCAAATCTAGCATTATTGCACAATTATTTAAAACGTCTGCTACCAACCTAATAGTAAATTTTGATAACCATAATGAAACAATGACATAATATAAACTCATTAAAATTTTTGTTTATTATATGAAAATTCTTGAAAAAAAATTACCTCCATCTTTTTGCATCACAATCTAACTGAGTTCTAAAAAATTAAAATTAAAATAATTATGCATACCACACCTCTAAAACAAAAGCACTAGAAAACCCAGAAACTCAATTTTTACTTCATTTTAAACATTTTCTATATAAAATTGTTTTCTCTACATAGATAATCTTGAACAATAAAAAAAGAGTTTTCCAAGTCTTTAAATCTTTTGAAACTTATATTCTTACAACTAATAAGTGACCAGTAATAGTACTAATAAAAACTAGTAAGTGGAATGAAATTTAATGATTGTAACTTAAATTTTTATTTATCTAATTTTTTATTTAATTATGTTCATAACTTTATATAATTTAAATTATCAAACTGTAATTGAAGCTTTTTGAAACAAAATGGTTAAAAACTGTAAATATTTAGCAATATACAATTAACAGCTGTTTTTAATTTGTAACGAGAGTATAAAATCATGATTATCTCATAAATTTTAGGAAAATGGTAAGTTATTTATTTGAGTTTATATTAAATATTTTTGTAAAAAATCAAGTTTCTTAAATTACTTTTCTCACATTAAAATATGATAATAAATTTGAACTAGAAAGTTTAAACTTCAGAGAAACTTATTAAAAACTGCTTTATTATTTTTCACTATTTTTATTGTTTGACAATTTAATTGAGCTGAGAGTTTACCACATTAATAGTTCAAACATATTACAAAAATATATTCCTAAACTTGTATGTATAGAAAACATTTTTGATATCCGGAAAAACGTAAAGTTGAGAAAAATATCTGGAATTCCGGAAATATCCGGGAAAAGATAATCCCTGCAAATCATTGGGCAGGAATCTTGATGACTATCATTTCAAATACATGTTCTGCTCCATTTGTAAAGTATTTACTTTTTTTTTATATGAGACCATCAAGGGACATATGATTTTAAAAACTAAGATTTTGTGCTCCTCTATTGGGGTTTCAAGGCTCAAACACAATCGTAAAACTGTTTGCAGTTGTTAACCACCTTGAGTGTGAAATTGCTTCAGGTTCACAAACAGATAAATCGTCTGAACAACTGCCTGATTTAATAGCAGAACTTATATCCAACAAGAACTGCTGATCTTTGCTTAAAAATTTGCAGTCAATTTCTGGAATTTCACAATAGACACTGACAAATTTTACCACTGGTAATTTTTCACATTTATTAAGCTGTGCACCAATCGGACCCTAAATGATTTTGGGCCTGTCGCTTCTCTGTCTAACATTTGAAATAAATGCCAGAATAGCAATTCGTTGAAGTGTAAGAGACAAATCTCCCACTGCAGTGGTCGGTTTACATATTTTTCAATTGTGGCAATAACACCGGATTTCCATCCAGGTTAGTAACAGTCCCATCGCATCCGATCTTAACATACACGGAACCTGGTTCTTGTAAAATTGAGTAATGTTCCTCTTTTATGGTTCATCGTTCAACACTTGAGAACTTCTTCATAAGTTTGAAGTTTATTTGCAGATAATTCTATAGGATGACCAAAAATCGGGCACTTAAATTCGCTACGAGTAATTTTTTTAAAAACAGCCATCACAGATTGGTTAATATTATTAAATAATAAAAATAAAATTATATCAATACAAGTTGTTGTGGCACAAAAAACTCCAATTTTGCAGCGCATTTTGGGAATACTCTAAAGCGCACTTTGTTACGAAAATGATAAAAAGCGAGTATTTATTCAAATATTCAAGTACGATGCGCTAGCTACTTTTTGTGAAATATTGGTGTTTTTTGTATATATTGGGGTATGTATATATATATATATATATATATATATATATATATATATATATATATATATATATATATATATATATATATATATATATATGCTAACTTTTTTTGCTAGTCTAAATTAAGTGAGCGTTTTGAGAAAACGATGAGGGAAATCAAAGAATAATGAATGAAAAGGTTGCTGACTCATACCAAACCCTCAGTCGATGTAGCAGCACTCCACTGCGAGCCAGGCTATTTGTCAGTCGAAGTATGTACTGAAGCCCCCGCAGCAGGCTATTTCAGTATGATGTCATCATGCTCACCTAACTCAGCAGTATAAGATATATATATATATATATATATATATATATATATATATATATATATATATATATATATTGAGGTATATATATATTAAGGTGTATATATATATATATATATATATATATATATATATATATATATATATATATATATATATATATATATATATATATATATATATATATATATATATATATATATATTGAGGTATATCTCTATATATATCTCAATCTACTGTCTTCTCACACTTTAAACCATGTATGTGCTTAAAATATTTTTATTGAAAACTTTTAAAAAAAAAAAGTTTTAAAACAAAACTTATTTCAAAAATGTTTTCTCGTAACAAAATGATTAAAAAAAGAAAAAAAAGTTTAAGGTTTTAGTTATTTGCCTTACTTTTTTAACTTTTACATGCGCATATTGAGAGCGTTTATATAGTCATATTTAATTTTTTACTCAATAAAGAATAGCATTAACTTATTTTTATTTTAATTTATGAAAAAAAAAAAATTTATTCATAAAAGTAGCAGAGACTCAATAGAATAGGTTTGCATGAATAAAATTTCTTTACCAGGTAATGAAAGTTCTAGAAAGAATTATTGTCAACAAAGTTTTATTAAGCAGTTTATATATATATATATATATATATATATATATATATATATATATATATATATATATATATATATATATATATATATATATATATATATATATACAGAGTTATAGAGCAAGGAAACGGTTGACAGAAGACTTGAAAAGTTGAAGGTTATATAAGTCAGGAAAACTTGAAGATGGGAGAGAGTTCCAAAGGATTGAACAGGCCTTGCGATGAATAAGAACTGCGCGACGCATAAGCACGGCGTGATTTTTGACGTCATTAAATTCTTTTTATTTGCTTTTCATATTTATCGACATTAACTGCACCAATTTACTTAATTACTGCAAAACTACTTTAAATCGTTTATCTAGAAATGTTATTATTTAAAAATGATTTGGAATGTTTCGTTTTTTAAAATGTAAAAACATTTGTTTATTTTCTCGACGTTTGTCACGTTTTGTCTATACTAAACGAATAAAAAACATTATAACTTAAATTTAAAAAAGATTATAAAATATGCTAATATTTGATTTTTTTTTTTTAAATATGTAATTTAAAGGTTTTTCAAATAATTATTTTTTTCTTTTTAAAAAGTCAGCGAGTAATAAACTGGAAATTTTAATGTTGTACGATTAAAAACTGTGCAATAGCTAATATTTTTACAAGCGATTTTATATAATATTTATTTATTTTTATTTATTTTCAAAAAGCGGTTGATAAGCACAATCACTCGTATTAATAAAAAACTTAAACGAACGTTTTGAATAATTTTTATTGTTAACAAGGAATTTTATTTCTAGTAAAATAAAATAAAATGTTAGAATAAAAATCTTATAGGTATAAAAGAAATATTTCAGCGAAAAAATTATTCTTAAAAATTATTCGAAAAACTATTGACGTTCTATTTTTCAGCAGCTGTTCTTGAGCACGCTTCGTAGAGTTTCGGTAACTTTTAACATAAAAGCGATCGTTATTATTTAAGTAATTTTTTTGAGTTTTTTTTTCACAAAAATTTTAATAAATGTACTTTTTTATTGAAGCAAGTAGAATACGTTTTAATATTAATCCTTTTTTATTTTTTTATTTGCCCTCACCAATTTTTAAAATGTTTCCTCGAAATTACTCTTAAATACTTTAAATACGTCTAACAGTTAATAAATATTTTTAAATCTATGGAATAATTTTAAAACCTAACCTACCCCCATAAAATAATTATTTAAGTTTAAAATCTAAAACTGAAAGAAAGTATTTTTGTTCAATTTTATCGACAACTTTGCTATTGCTGAATAATCTTAATTAAATGTTAGCTTAAAAGATTTAAACTTTTTTTTTAATTTTCGAATTTTTTCTACTTGTAAATAATGAGCATATTTAATTTTTTTAAATTCAAACTTTTAATTCAACTGCGTGCGGTTTTTAAAATACTTTATTAAAAGTTAAAATAATCGTAAATTACTTCATTAAAATTCCGCTCAAAAATATATTTAAATATACTCAAACAAAAAATTTTTTGCTCGACGCAAATAGCCCTAGCTACACGCAAAATCGCTCTTGGACGACGTAAAATTCACATCGCCCGACGTTTTATCGCAAGGCCTGATTGAAGTGCGGGGAAAAAAACTAGATGAATAAATGTTTTTAGAGCATGCAAGGACAGATACAGTAAACAAATGAGACTTAGCTGAATGACGAATAAAGCGAGAATGAATTTTAGTTGATGGAACTAGAGATGATAACTCCTTTGAGCAGTGACCATGATAGTATTTGTAGAAAAGAGAAAGAGATGCAACTTTACGACGATGGGAAAGAGGCTCAAGCTTAGCAAATAGTCCAGGTCCAACAACATTTACAATGCGATTTTGGACCGTGTCAAGAAGAGAAAGTGAATCGTTAGAAAAACCAGCCCAAATATGACAATAGTATTCCGTACAGAGAGGAATAAGAGATTTGCAGAGGTAGAGAATAGAATCAGAAGTAAGGAAATGGATGCACAATAAAGAAAATGGAGCACAATAAAGAGAAGCAACCTTAGGAGAAGCTAATTTAGCAATCGATTGTATATATGGTTTCCATGAAAGGTCAGTAGTAAGCAATAATCCAAGAAGACATAAAGAGGAGGACTCAGTAAATGGATTGCCATTCAATAATATATAAATGTTGACCATATTACGGTAGTTGTTTGCAATAAACAACTGGGTTTTGTTAGAGTTGAAATTCACAAGACACTGTGAACCCCAATCTATTACTGAAGTGAAATCGGATTCAAGATCAGCTGCTTGTTTTAGGCGATCGAAAAGAGAAGAATTTTTGTCAAGACAGGAGTACAAAAATGAGTCATCAGCAAAAAGAGCTACTTTAGATGAAAGGTTGTCATGAAGATCGTTTATGTAGATAAGAAACAAAACAGGGCCCAGGATGGAAGCTTGGGAAACCCCAGAAGTTACTAGAAATAAAGAAGAATGTTGGCCTTCAAGGATGACTTAAATAAACTGGTTAGAAAGAAATAATTTGATAATCTCAAAAACTTTCCCAGAAACACCATATGAAGCAAGCTTATGGAGAAGACCAGCATGCCAAACTTTGTCAAAAGCTTTAGATATGTCGAGAGCAATAGCCCTAGCCTCACCGCCTCCATCTAATGCATGATAAAATCTTTCAGTTACAGCAGTTAGCAAGTGGGCCGTAGAGCGAGAGGATCGAAAACCGTATTGATTGTCTGACAGCAGTTTATTTGACTCAAGATGAGATGTGAGGAATTTGTTGATCAAAGACTCAAAGACCTTGCTAATTACAGAAAGAAGACTGATTGGACGATAATTGGAGGGGTCAGAATTTTCTCCAGAGTTTTTGAATATTGGAACCACAGATGCCATTTTCCAACAAGCAGGAAAACAAGACTCAGTCAAACACTTCTTAAATAGTTTAGAGAGAATTGAAGAAAGTTCTGGAGAACAATTCTGCAAGACTGTGACAGGAATGCTGTCTGGACCCCAAGCTGTAGACGAGTTTAATTGAGATATGACTTTAGCAACAGAAGCCGGAGTGATTTGAATGTCTAACAATGGGTCAACCTGTTTGACTGGAATGGAAGGAAGAGAATGTCCATAAGATTCAAGAGTGGAATTAGAAAAAAAGTTCTTTGCAAATAGTTCTGCCTTATCCTTGGGAGAGGTAATAAGATCAGTCTCATGAATGAGAGATGGAGTGTTAGATCTACCCTTGTTAATAATGCTGTTGAAGATTTTCCAAAAGTCTTTAGAGCCTAACTTCTGTGATAAGATGTGAGATTTAGGGAACTGAGAATAATGGAGTTTAGCATCAGAAAGCACCTTTTTACATCGATTTCTTGCAATAATAAATAGCTTGTTCTCAAGAGAGTTGTTATTTTGAAAAAGATGAAAAAAATGATTACGATTGGATATAGCAGCCGCACAAGAAGGAGAAAACCATGGAGTAGAATGAGGCTTGACTTGAAATTGACGCGAAGGAATAAAAGTTTCCATTCCAGCCTGAATCCAGGAGGTTACGTAGGAGGCGCATTTATCAGCTGAGAGAGAAAAAACATCAGCCCAAGGACCATCACGAAGAAAATCACAAAGAGAATCTCAGTCAGCTTTAGGGTAGTAGTAGGTGGTGCAATGATAAGGTGAGCCCAAAAAAGAAGTATGAGAAGAAAGATTTATAGAGATCATTGCATGGTCATAACCACCCAAGAGAGAAAAGGGAGAAACTGAACACAAGCTAGGGTCAGAGACAAGACACAAGTTAAGGAGTGAAGGTAAATTATTAGGGTTGTCAGGAAAACGAGTCACAAAGTTAACTATCTGTGTAAGAGATTGAGAAATGCAGAAGTTAAAGGCTTTAGTGCCAGCAGGATCAGTGGTGTTAGAGCCTAGCCATTCAGTGTGATGGGCATTAAAATCACCAACAACAACAATATTGGCAGAGGGGTAAAGAGAGAGGGCATGATCAATTTGATCAGAGATAACATCTAAAAGAGTGCAATTTAAATTTGTTTCACTGAGTGCAAGCAAGTGTGGTGAATTTTGCAGGAGGTAAGACTCAACTGACGGAAAGTTGCTTCGCAGACCGCGAATATTTGTAAAAGATATATTAAAATATTTAGGTGGTGGGGATGGTTTTTTAGGTATAAAATTTTTGGTTACTTTGGTCATGATTTGGGTTTAATGAGAACTTGACTCATTCATAGATAGAGCACAGCCTCCTAATCAATGAGCTATGCAGTTGTCTCAGTCCTGTTAATTAACTCTAAGCTGTGACATAGGGCTCCTTATGTGGCCTTGACAATGCACACCAATAACATTAACAGGGACACTATCCATGCGCAACATGGCACTGTTAATACTCTGATATTTTGCAGCTGTTGATAGAATCAGCCTCTCTGAGAGCTACCACAGAGTTCGGGAAACCTTACTATCAGCCGGCCTCAGAACCATTAAACTGAGTTTTAGAGCTGTACCCTCATATGGAGATAACAGGAAGAGTTGCATAGCCATTATCAAGGAGGCATAAGCAAAATTCTATGAGTAGAGTCAAGGAGATCCAGCATTCATCATCCTAGGCAGGAAACAATGTAACACAGGTTACATCTACGCCAGCCTAATAGATGAAGAAGGGGTTCGAGGCCGGTTAGCAGAATTTTTCTGCTTACCCCTAAAGTCTTTGTATAGGAGGCCTTTTACAAGACAGTAGCTGGATACAGTTAACATCTGCCCAAGATGAGTATTTTTATCGAGACACCATCTCTAACCTTTACTCAACCAAGAGCCCCAAGGCAGGGGATGTTTAGCTGGATGCAGTTAACATCTGCCCAAGATGAGTGTTTTTATCGAGACACCATCTCTAGCCTTTACTCAACCAAGAGCCCAAGGCAGGGGAATTTTTAGTCTGAGTTTATTTCTCCTAGCCTTTGCCTAAGTAGAGCACACATCTATATTAATATCGTGTTGTTTTATTTAAGATGAGGAAAGGGAAAAAAGATACAAACTCTTTGAAAGTTTGAGAAAGGTTTTTAGGAAAAGAAAAAGATCTTTGGGTGGCATTTGTTGATATTAAAAAAGTTTTAGCAAAGTACCAAGAGAGATGGCATTTAAAGTATTTAGGTGTTTTGGACGTTTTTTAAAGAGATATAGCGTTGGTTGATTGAAAGAGATTTAGCGTTTTAGTTAAGATAAGTGAAAAATGATTTCAGATGAAAATGATTTCAGAGAAAAAAGAAGAACTTTTACAAAGATTTCAGTATTGGAAAGATTTTAAAGGAGTTAAAGTAAAAGAGCATAAAATAAACATGAATAATACAAGTTATATTTTGTAAAGTCAAGTAAACAGAAAAAAAGTGGACATATAGAGTATGTAGAAAAGAAGTTGGAGCAAATTTTATTGTTTATAAGTAATAGGTTCATAAGAGATGTAATGGTATATAAGGTGCTCTTAAAAAAACTGGTTTTGAGTTTATAAAAGATACTTTTAGTAAACACAGGGAAGTTCCACATGAAACTTCCATAGAAACTCATCAAAGAACTATTCTCAATTTCAAATTAAATGTCAATAAAGTACTGAACTTATTTTTTTAAATTTACTTTATGAAATTATCAAAATTGTTTTTACACATAAATAAGCCAAATAAATTATCAAATGAATAACAATTTGATATAACATATATATGAACACTTCCTACAAACATACATATGAACACTCTCCATATGTACATGTAAAGACATTTAAAAACTGATTTCGTTATTTAAAATTTTTAATTTTAATTATGTTTTTTGTTTTGTTTTACATATGTTAACTTTTTTATTAATTTAAATCAATAATTTATCATGATTTATTAAAGTGATGACACTTTTAATAAAAATAAAATGAAAAGTTTTGACAAGTTTTGTTAGCTTGTCATTCCAACTATATAAATTTTCAAAACTGATGATAAATAAGTTATCTACCCCTTTTTCCATGCAAACAGAATGCGACCAATCATTCCTGCACCATCTTTTAACATCCATGTAATTGTGGCAGCAGTAACTGTTGCTGTATTATCACCCACACCATAAGCTTTCAACATAGCTTGAGTAGCAAGCATTCCAGTTATAGAGGAACAAAAGGCCTATAAATATTGTTTTTACACTTAACACAAAACTATTTATACATTATAATAAACAATTAATATAAGTTTCGTTTTTAATACAAAATTTGTATAACATTTACATTATAAGTAACAAAATTTGTATAACATTTACGTTATAAGTTATAATTTTATAATAAAGTAATAATTTTTTTTATTTTTTTTTTAAGTAATAATTTTGTGTCTGAAAATATAAATGTTATGCAACATTGATTGAAATTCTCAAAATTCAAAAAAAGCAAAAAAAAGCAAAAAAAACAGTTAAAATCTTTTTCTTACTTAAATTCTTAATAAATATACTTGAAATAAATTTAAACTTGAGTTGAGCAGAAAATGTAAAAAGTAACAAAAACAAAACTCGATAATATATAAATGATATGGTTTTATATTTTTTTATCAATTTTCTATTTCATTTTACTATTATCTAAAACTAAAATCTTGCAAATAACTCTCATCGCTTAAGAAACTGTTAGAAAATTACTTAAGAAATGACCTAAAAAACTGTTTTTGGAGTAACTGAAAATTTCAACAAGCTTTCTTTATTAAAAAGTAACTTGCAGTAAAATGTGTAAATTTTTGCTAACTATAAAACAACTTCTTTCCAAAAAAGAATTACTTTTTTTTCAGGAAACAAGTAATTATTTTTTTGTAATTTTTTTTATAATTATCAATTTGAAAATAAATTACTAAAAACTACAAACATCATAGTCAATTAGATTTTATATCAAAAAAAAAAAAATTAACATAAGTTTATGATTAATTATGAACATCAAAATTTATCTTATACTTGCAGTGTATCCCAAAGCTGATAACGTAAGTAATCTTCACTGACACTTTCTGGAAATCCTTGAGGAAGAAAAACATTCTAAAAATAAATTAAAAAACAAAATAAATAATAAATTTGAAATAAATCTCTTAAACAAAATTATTAAAACAAATTTTACTCACTTGAAATAATAACTTTAAAGTTGTATAAAAACCTATCACTGATAAATTTTTTGTTTTTTTACAAAAACCATCTTCGTAATAAACTATTTTTTCTTCGTTTGACCCATAACTTTCATAACACAAAACTTTACTAGACATCTAAATCCTAAAAATTACCTAAAAATATGAAATGTTTATAAAGTTAACATAAAATTTGAAAATTTAAAACAATAAAAACTTAGTTAAAAAATTAATATATATATACATATATATATATATATATATATATATATATATATATATATATATATATATATATATATATATATATATATATATATATATATATATATATATATATATATATATATATATACTCTTGCATGGTAGTTGAAAAGAGTTTCCCATAAACTGTAGTTTTAAAGAGCGCGTTAATAAACCAGACCAGAAAAAGTTTAAAAACTTAAATTTTTTTTTTTTTTCAAATGATAGACTGCCTGCCCAAACCGAACCCTCAGTCGATGTAGCAGCACTCCCTTGCGAGTCAGGCTATTTGTCAGTCGTTGTAGCAGCACTCCCTTGCGAGTCAGGCTATTTGTCAGTCGATGTAGCAGCACTCTGTTGCGAGTCAGGCTATTTGTCAGTCGATGTAGCAGCACTCCGTTGCAAGTCAGGCTATAAGATAGTCGATGTAGCAACATTTACGCATGTTTTAAAAATGTTTTTTAATAAAATAAAAACAAAAACATCACTAATAAAAAAAAACTTTCTAGTCGTTATAATTGCGGTTTTTTAAAAAATTTTAATAAAACAATAAAATTTAATGTACTTCCGCATTAATTTAATTGCTTTGACATTTCGACGACAATCAAATACAGCTTAAGAGACGAGGTAATTAAAATTGTAGTCTTTGGAGACTTTTTTTACATTTAAACGCTCTTTCGACTACACTATATGGATATATATATATATATATATATATATATATATATATATATATATATATATATATATATATACACAGTCATCAAAATTCAGGTCGGCATTCGGCAATGCTGACGCAAAAGCCGACCTACCTTTGCTTTAGAACGGCATACAACTGCCGACCTGAATATCCTACAGTGTCGGCATGCAAATTGAAATACAGGTAAAAAATATATAATATTCGTTAAATATTATTTTATAATTTTTTTATTGTAATTACTTACTTTTCAAGTTTGACATGTTTTATTAAGACAAAAATTTTTTCTTTTTTTTTTTCAATTCATTTTTAATTTTTTTCTCAAATTTATTCAAGCATAGCAAAGTTAAAAAATATTACTTTTTAAATACCTGTTGTTTTCATGCTTTTTAAGCGCAATTAATATTTTATTAAGTTATAAAATCTAATTTTAATTTATTTTATTAGATAAAACCATTTAACTAATAAAATAATTTACGTGTTTATGGTTTTTTTAATATGATTCAAGATCAGAAATTATATTAGGAAAGTTTAGCCTTGTTATAGTTATGTTAGACACTTGCGGAGAAGAAACATTAGTTACAAAACTTTTTCTTAATTTGATAAAAGTTACAGTTTCCATTAAATTGCAACAGACGCAACAGTAATACAGTAAGCAAATTCAAAACAATGTTTATATATAAGAAAAAAAAAAACTATTTTAGTTTTTTTAACTTTTGTTTTCCCTCCATCAATTTACATATAGTTACAAGTTCATACTATACTACAATTAAATATTGAAAATCACCACCCCTACTACTGGAGAATTTAATGCTAATTTCTCGTAGAGGTTAAACAACCGGATGTAAACTGTCTAATTTCTCGTAGAGGTTAAACAACCGGATGTAAACTGTCTCATTTTGTTAAACAATTTGCTGTTTTAAACAAAACCTTTGCCTACAGCCTTTAACTAAATTTGTATTTCTAAACAACGTTCTTAGAGCAAAAAAAAGTAATTAAAATGTAATAAATAAACTATGACCATTTTTTTTGTAAAAAAAAAAACAACAACTTCAAAACTAAAAAATCACTAATTCATAAATTTGCTTATACTTAATTTACTACACAAAATTTAATTGCTACATTCTTTAAAATATTATTGTCTGAAGCTATGCTATTGTAAAGCAATCCTTTTATAATCAATCATTCATTAACCCTTGTCAACAATTGTCAACGACAGGGTTTTTTAGCTAAGGTTGGCACAAGCGTCCCAACCTGAAACCCTTCGAGTTTTGCTGACTATATATATATATATATATATATATATATATATATATATATATATATATATATATATATATATATACACATACATATACATGTATATATTAAAACAATTAACATTATTTATTAATTTTTTTTTTTTATGACATAACAATAAATTTTCAACATTTGGGGGGAAACTTTTTTTTTTTTAAAAACAAAACATAAAATATAAAAATATTGTTGTGATATCTATATTTATGATATATATTAGATATAGTTATCAATAACAAACAAAGTATAAAATAGCAATGCTTAAAGTAAAAAACTATGAACTATGGTAACCCAGTACTATTTAAATTTTCTTGGTTTACAACAACAACAAAAATATTATATATATATATATATATATATATATATATATATATATATATATATATATATATATATATATATATATATATATATATATATATATATATATATATATATATATAAAGATACAAAGTACAAATTAATGAAGATATAAACTTTGAATAATAAACCTGATAAAATAATAAACCTGATAAAATGGTTGACTCTTATAAAACATGTCTAATACAAAGAAAGTGGTGGAATCTTTTCCTTAAAAATCAGGAGACACAAGAAGATCACTACAAAACTCATTTCAGATAGAAGATTCTGCAGATTTTATAGAATCATTAATCCTGGGTGGCTAGTTTAACCTGCCTTAACAGAAAAAGGTTTAATGTTATTCTGAATGTAAACACAAAGAGTATTTTTTATGACATAACAATAAAATTTCTGACATCTGGGGGAAAACTCAAGAAATGTTTATTTATGATATAAAAATATTATTTTTCAGACATTGCTAAAAGAGCTTATTAAATAAATATTTTTATATATAATAAAAGCTTCACATTTACCAAAGTATAATTTATTTAACAACTAAGTAATATAGTTTTTGACAGTCAGACAAAATTTAATAAAATAACATTCATTAACGTTCTTCTTTTTTACGGAACTTGTGATCTTGGTCCAGGACCTAAAGCAAATGATAAAAAAATATTTATGTGAATTTTTTCTTTATTATTATAAAATTAATGCTCATTTTGTATAATACTTATTCATATTATGATTGGGTCATTCCGTATCAAATCAACCCAAAAAAAAAATTTTTCGACACCATGCCATCTCAGATTTTGATGAATTTTGGAATACATGCTCATATTAATGAAAGAAAACATCACTCCAAATTTTAATGTTTGACTCCTTACAAATTCAGAGATACTGATACTCAGTCCCATTCTCTTTTTTGATTATTTTTTTCAGTGCCATTTGCTTTTTAAGCTAATTACATAACACAACTAGCTTTAACTTATGAAATACTTCCTCAATAGTGTTGAAATTCTGTACCTAAATTTTTTTTAGGTAGAGGAACTCAAAAATGACGGCTAAAACACAAATCAAGCTTCTATATGAAAATTTAATTTCAAAATAATGTAATATTTTTGTAAGTTTATTGATACCCCTTACAAAAAATGTTTATTATGAGTGAATGAATGATTATGAAAATTTTTTTCCTTTGTAACAAATAATATAATAAATATGTAACAAATAATACAAATTATGTAACAAATAATACAAATAAATATGTAAATGCCATAAAACAAAAAAACTGCAAGGCTAATCTTTTTAATATCAGATTTATTTGCATTTAAAGTTTTATAATTCTAAACCCCAAAAATATGGAAATTACAAAAATATGCAAGGAAAATAATTAAATTGTAATAAAAAAAAAATTAAATTAAGAATTAAAAATCTTTAAAAGTTTTATCAAAAATTGGTTCTCTGTTTTAAAGTTTGCCCAGCTTTCTTTAATGCTTTGGTGATCAATTTCACTGATTTTGTATTGTCTTCCTGTGACAGTTGTTGGAATACTAATCATTTAAGTACTAATCATATATTTAAATACTAATCATTTACCATAAGTTTGGTAATGGAACTCAGCACACACAATCTCTAGAAGGCTGACAATATGACCTTGAAGGGTAAAACGGATGCATGAATCTAATTTGAAAGTCTTTATTTTTTAACACCAACATCCCCTTCTAGTCCAATCCGCAGGTTGTTAATATAAATCAAACATGCAAACATTTCAATGCTTATATGCGGGTTGTTATTATAAATCAAACATGCAAACATTTCAATGCTTATATGCGGGTTGTTATTATAAATCAAACATGCAAACATTTCAATGCTTATACGCAGGTTGTTATTATAAATCAAACATGCAAACATTTCAATGCTTATACGCGGGTTGTTATTATAAATCAAACATGCAAACATTTCAATGCTTATACGCGGGTTGTTATTATAAATCAAACATGCAAACATTTCAATGCTTATATGCGGGTTGTTATTATAAAACATGCAAACATTTCAATGCTTATACGCGGGTTGTTATTATAAATCAAACATGCAAACATTTCAATGCTTATATGCGGGTTGTTATTATAAATCAAACATGCAAACATTTCAATGCTTATACGCGGGTTGTTATTATAAATCAAACATGCAAACATTTCAATGCTTATACGCGGGTTGTTATTATAAATCAAACATGCAAACATTTCAATGCTTATACGCGGGTTGTTATTATAAATCAAACATGCAAACATTTCAATGCTTATATGCGGGTTGTTATTATAAATCAAACATTCAAACATTTCAATGCTTATACGCGGGTTGTTATTATAAATCAAACATGCAAACATTTCAATGCTTATATTAGGCAAGCAATATTTAATAATCTTATCAGTTTGAAAAATAAAAACAAATGAATACTCTTTTAGTTCAGATACAATTTTAGTTCCAATTTTTATTTGGAATGAAATATTTATGTTACTTATTGGAATAAAATTGCGATAGCTGTGGGTGCTTGGTAACATTTTTGTTAAAAACTGTTAAAAAATTTCAATTTGAATTATCACGTTTAACTCCTTAGATACATATCAAAAACTAATTTCTATGATTATATTTAAGCAAAAAAAAAAAAAAAAAAACATTCCAGATGCTGTAAGTATATGATTTATTGTTGCTCAGTGAAGGCTAGCAATTGAAATTAGTCTTTTTACAGTCCCACTAATAGCATCACAAGGTGATTTACCATGACTTTTGCAAAGAAAAACATTGTACATTTAATAGTAAAATCTTGCTCATAGTGGCATATATTTATGAAGTGTTCACAGTTTTGTAATGGCCAGCACACCTATCTGAAAAGTAATGAACAATTTCTATTTGATGAGAAATATTGCTTTTAATATTTCCCATTGTCAACTTCATAGCATGATACATCATGCAGTAAATCATCTGAGATGAAACATATTAAACCACATTTGAGGACATTTACTTTATATGAAACTACTGTAGGATGCAATATTGCTTGACTTTTGTTCCAGTGAAAAATTTGTACTTCATCTTGTACAACAAACTCATAACTTCTCAAAAATCAAAAAGGACAATGACCTCAGTACTATTTAACTCATTTTTTAATTTCTATAAAAAATCAGGAATGTATAAATGTTTTGTAATGTAAGAATGAACAGTACGTTTTTATAACTTATTTATTAAAGTATTAATGAAGCTACTTGGTTTCTGTTAGACTTGTTGACTTGATGATTGTCAGACAGATCAGTCTCTTGTCTTCCATTATTTGTAATTTATACAATAACCATTATCTTTATCAATATTTTCTTGAAAGTAGGAATCATTCTCAAGATAATGTCTTTACATAGAATCTTCTGGACATAAAGACCAATAATTTATCATGCAATTCTTGTTAGCCCTACTACAAACAAGCATATCAATAAGTTTATGATAATTTAACTGCACTAATCATTAACTTAACATTTTGACGGTAGGTATGCATACAGAATGTGTGTAATCTCACACATAGTAACATAATTGTATGTGTACACGATGCTCACACTGTAATGCACCATTTCGGACGATTTGAGCAAAAGTGAGAAAAACAAGTCTTTATATCACGATAACTGGTTTTAAACTTAGCATACAGTAAATACACATACGTACAAATGAGACTTTTTTTTTTTCAGGGAAAGATAAAATACTTTTTTTCAGCAGCAGTTTGCGTGATATCTGCACCATATAATTAGTAACATTAAATTCTTTTTCTATACATTTGTTAGACTAAGGTATTGGAAACAATAGAAATTGAATTTTCTGATTCCATTTGAAAGTTAACATTTTTTCTTTAATTTATCCTATAAGTTTATCCATATCATTTGCTTTACATTTAATTTCCTTAGTTAATTTATGAAAGGAATCTTCTTGGCTTAATTGATCAGGATTTTTATTTCAAGTCCTTGCAATATCTAACTTTACTGTTTTTTGAACATGTAATGATTTTTATTCTTTTTACCGAGAGCAGCTCTTGAGTGACTATTCACAGCATTTCGAGAAGAGAGGATTTTGATATATTTTTTGACAGCTTATGTTCATAGCTGTCAAAAAAGAATTGAGATTTAAGAACTTTGTTATCTTCATTTTCATAAATCTGGCTGCAAGTCGGTTCTCCTGGTCCATCATCCTTAAATGAGATCAATTTAATGATACATTATGAACATATTTTTTCTTCATTATACAATTTTATTTATTTATTATACCAATAGAACATCTTTCTTTTTCATCAATATTTTTATATTTTTAAGTTCTGTAAGAAATATTTTTTAAATAATTATTTGAAGATTCGTAAATAGAAAATCCTTCATTAAACATTAAGATTGTATAAAGTAAAGATCTTTTATGTGAAATGCAAACAAGTTAATATATTAGAACTTGACCTGAGATTCTAAAATATTTTTTAAAAATTGCAAAAAATAAATGTATATAATTTTTCATTATTAAATAACAATTTTTCTTAATTTTTTTTATAAAACTTTCAATGTAAATATATCAGATTCAAAAAAGAAAACCCCTGCTATTTTTTTGTAATAAGGATTTTTTTGTAATATAGAACCATAGAAAAAATTTTTTTAGAATTAAACGTTTTAGGGAGTATATCTTGAGATATACTCCTTTTTTATACAAAAAGGAGTATATCTCAAGATATACTATTTTTTGTATAGGGCATCAAAAGACTTATAAAAAGTGTTAGACCATTTTGAAATTAAATTTTCATAAAGAAGCTTTAACTTTATAATGTTTAGGTTATCATTTTTGAGTTCCATTCCCAAAAAAATAGTTTCAAAATTTCAACATTATTGAGCAAGTATTTCATAAGTTAAAGCTAATTGTGTTATATAATTAGCTTAAAAAGTAAATGGCACTGAAAAAAATAATCAAAAAGAGATTGCGATTGAGTATCAATATCTCTGAAACCGTAAGGACTCAGATACTAAAATTTGGAGTGAAGTTTTTGTTCATTAATTTAAGTTTGTATTCCAAAAATCATCAAAATATGAGATGTCATGGTGCCAAGCATAAATTAAATTGAGCTGGAATGACCCAATTTTTTTTCTAGTTTAAGATGATTAAAAACTAATAAGCTTAATTTTTTTGTTATTTGATTGAAAAAGAACTTGAACAAAAACTAAATGTTAAATCTGTAGTAATATGTTTCTCAAGCAGAGGTACCTTTTATTTTTATATAAATTTATGCCACCATAGGTGGCATAAATTAATATAAAAATAAAAGGTGAATGTATAAAAAAAATATGGGAGTTAAACGAATAAAAAAAAAAAGTAGGTGAAAGTAGAAAAAAAAATTTTTTAATTTAAATTTTAGGCAATTATAAGGTTTATAATATAATTAAGTTTACATAGCATAAATTAACTGTAACAAAAATATACCTTTGTACGCATATTCTAAGGCACTAGCAATTGTTGTTATATCAGTCTCAATTGTTCTTGCCCAATTATCAACATCTCCTAGTTCTTTCAAAGCTTGGTTGAAGTTTTCTAGCATATTAATCCATAATTGAGTTTGTTTAGAAAACAACTCAACATGATTTTGGAGCTTTTTTGCTTCATTTTCAATCTTTTTCTGATTGTTGTAAGCTTGCTCAACACTATAACAATAAAGGAAAAGTTAATGGAGATCTTGTTTTTGATACTTTAGTTTTCTATACTATTAACAAATACTTTTCTTTGCCCAAAAATAAAGTTTCTTTGCAATCATTTAATGTTTCTTTGCAATCATTTAATGTTTCTTTGCAATCATTTAATGTTTCTTTGCAATCATTTAAAGTTACTAAACTAGTTTTTGAAAAGCAATAAAATTTATAACATCAATCTCAGATATTGGTTTAAAGTCTTACCCTCATGCCTAATATATATTTCTAAGATTTTTGTACTATTTTGGTATTTCCATTCAATACACTTTTACATTTTTTCTTTTATTAAAAACATCAAAACAAAACACAACACTTAGAAATATCTAATAATAATATGCCTCATGTTTCATAGCTATCTCAGAAATAGTAAAGGGAATATTGTACCACAAGAGCTTTATAGTAAGCACTGCATATTTTTAAAAGGTAAACATAAAAACACTTTGTTTCCTGTTTATCTTTTAAAAATATATTTCTCAATGACAAACTGTTTGAGACTATTGCAGATTTTTTACCCAAAAATACATCAATTAAATGACAGATAACTTTAGTAAAACTAAAAAAAATCATACAATATTTTTTTTTACAAGTTTTTGAATTTAAACGAGTTTAAAAAATAAAATAACAGATAAATAAAGATTTTGATAAAAAATATTTGTATTTTTAATAATATTCCAAAACAAATACTATTATTTGATTTGATTATTATTAAAAATACAGATGTTATATGTTATTTTATTTTTGAACTCATTTAAAAAATAAAAATACAGATAAAGAAAATAATGAGGTATTTAATATCAATAATTGTGGATTACAATATTGTGTAAGTTTAAACAAAAATTTCCTATGAACATATTTATTTTTACTAAAGCAATCTGTCAATTAATTAATGTATTTTTTTCTTGAAAAATCTACAGATATCAAACGCAGTTTATCACGCACAGGGATAAACTGCATATGATATCTGTAGATTTTTCTTATGCAACAACATTATTATCACACATTGCTAAACATAACATTTTACGACATTATCATTCAAACTTTTGTAATACCTTGTGTGGTTTTTGTAAATGTTGATTAATGTTTGTAAATTAATGTTGATTACTTCATTTATCGAACCATTTAAAAAATATTTTTAAACTTATCTAAATTTTACAAATAAAAGTTTTGAGCATGACTAAAATAGAGTGCAAGAAAGCAAAAAAACATGATTTTTGTACATAAAATACATGTGAAATAGTGTGCAAAAGTTTAGAAACTTTTTTCAGTTTTTGTGTACCTTTTTACAAACTTTTTCAAATAAGCTGAAATTTTTACAGAATGTGTTTTATATTATTTCAATTCAAAATACAAACCACAAAAGTTATGAAATTTAATTGTAAAATTTTCTTGAAAAGACTTTTCTGCAAAAGTTTAGAAACACCAACTTTTTTCAGTTTTTGTATACCTTTTCACAAACTTTCTCAAATAAGCTGAAATTTTTACAGAAAGTGTTTTATATTACAATTCAAAATACAAACCACAAAATTTGTAAAATTTAATTGTAAAATTTTCTTGAAAAGACTTTCCTGCTAAAGTTTAGAAACAACTAAATTTTGATTAATATCTATTTAAAAAAAGATGATACTTTTACTAAAACCTACAAATTTACAACTTCTTAATAAATTAGTTTCAATAAAACAGTTGGTATATGTTGGCATATAACTATTTAATTTTAAAACAGCACCACAGCAACAAGGCATCAAATCAACTAAATTAAAAGAAGATTTGAAGACTTGAAGATTTTTATACCAACATTTTTCAATCAAAACGAATAAAAGATCTTTGCATCTAGCAGCATAATATTCTCCATGATGTCTAAATAAACTTTCTGGTCTATAATACAAATTATGAGATGAATGATTTCCACATAATTATGACTAAAACACCTCTAAACCATAACATTTCCTCCTCCATGTTTAACAGAAGGTAACTGATAACTTTGTTGTCTGACATACCTAATTCTATCACTGCTGAACAGCATAAATTTTGATTCATCAGAGAAAAGGACTTTTGACCAGTCATTAACTCTCCAACTTACATGATATTTTGCAAATTTTATTCTTTTAAAATTCTTGCAGATATCAGTAGTTTTATGTTGGGCAGCCATTTTTATTTTATCGAATCGACATTTAATTGTATCAATGTTACAGTTTGTGCCATAAAACTGATGTATAGTTAAATTATGATTGATAGCAGTTTTGTAAGGATTATTGTGGGAACATCTTACTAATAATCTATCAGCCTTTTCAATTGTGATGTTTCAGAGCAAGGCTTACTTTCAATAGCTTTTCGCTGTATATATAGTTTGGTCCTAGAATAGAGTTGTTTATATTAAAAATCTTTTTATAACGTGACTTATTCCTGGTTTACAAAGATTGCAAAACACAGAAATCACACAAGTCACACAACTTCATTTGAATTTTTTCACACAACTTCATTTGAAAATTTCTTAGCTATTTCCATGCCTTTAAAAAATCAA